TAATTTTTTAAAATAATATATATAAATACATAAAATATTCTAAATTGTGAATTTAACAAAGCGCATTAAAAAATATAATTATTTTAACACGGGAATGAAAAACAATGTCCTTTGTTTAATCTAAAAATCTCAATTAAAATATTCAAAAAAAACGAGAAGTCAAAGTCAGTTTCCGCGTTTTTCTTCCATTTTCCATTTCATATAGGCCCAGAAAATTTTTCCACAAACAGAACACAGAGGCTGCAGAATTTGATTCTGTTCTTCAATTTGGAGCGAGAATGTGCGGGATATTTGCGTACTTGAATTTCAACGTCGGACGGGAGAGGAGATACATTCTGCAGGTCCTCTTCAACGGTCTCCGCCGTCTCGAGTACAGAGGCTATGATTCCGCCGGGATTTGCATCGACGATTCTTTTTCTCGTGATCCAAACACCCCTCAGTCCTCTCATTCTCCCTCTCCTCCTCCTCCCCTCGTGTTTCGCCAGGAGGGGAACATCGAGTCACTCGTCAAATCGGTCTACCAAGGTAACTTACTTAATTCTTAATTTTATTTATTCCGCTGATTTTCTTTTTTGTATTCTATTATTTTGGTCAAATTTAAGTTTTTAATGCCACCGTTCGGTTTATGTTTGGATTATGCAAGAAATGAATTGAAAAAGCATGATCGAGGTCCGATCCACTTTGATTGGTTCTCGGGAAAATGTTACATTTTAGATTTCCATCACAATTTTGTGAGAGCATTTTAGTGTACTTTCAGATGCTTTCTATATCATTAATTTTGTTTTAAAAGTAATGGTTTTTGTGTTTTGTTGCTGAATTAGAACAATCAAATAATCTTACTTTCTCTCAGTTCTTTACTTCACCTAGATGATTGTGGTTAATGGTAATTTTGGTGCCCCAGAGGTAGCTGAGATAGATTTAAATTTGGAGGAGTCGTTTTCTGTCCATGCTGGAATAGCACATACCAGATGGGCTACTCATGGGGAACCGGCTCCAAGGAATAGCCATCCTCAGACATCCGGTCCTGGCAATGAGTTCTTGGTGGTTCACAATGGAGTTATTACTAATTATGAGGTTTGCTTGAAGTTGCAGTTGCTTTGTTGCTTATTTTATTTCATGACTTGTTGATGGTGCATGCTACACAAGATGCAGACAATAAAGATGTCAGGGGAAGTCAATATTAAACATGTATAAAATTTAAAAGTCCTACCTTTTTTTGATGTTTGGTTGAATTTATTTACAACAAATGCACTGTCACGTCTTAATAGTTTCTATTTTCTTTTATGTTTAGGAGTCCAGGGTGTTTTACTAATTTTCTTTAGCTTTGAAAAGAATAAATGTGTTTAAGAATACACTTAGGAAGAGGTGTGAGATCAACTATGGTAGAACAAGGATGGAGACAGA